TTGTCGATCCACGAGTGCATTCTACGAGCGTGCTATGCCGTTTCAAGCGTTTCGAGGTTGGAGAGGGGGTCGGGACGTGGTCCGTGGCTAAATATAGGAAACGATTTCGGACGGGGTAATACCGTGTAGAACACGGTCAAACACAATGTTTGCGGGCAACGCCCACCCATACTCGTCCGGGCTTTTACTGCCGGGCAGTAAAGAACGAAAATTATGATCGGAGCTTGTCACTGCTCCGGGCGTCGAGCAGTTCTTCGAGATCTGCCATCGGCCGGCCTCTATCCCCCGATCGACTTGCTCGTACCCTCGTGATCGCGATCGTACGAGCATCTTGTTGCTCGAAAACGAGTCGTAGATTACGGAACTTTAGAGTCATTGTATTATCCTCGAGACCGAGCATCTGACATCGGATTAATACCCCTTCGTACGTTTTAATTTCATTTCCCCTTGGATTTTTTACCCCCCCTGTTTATCTTGGAAATTGACGGGTAGCGTCTCCGTCGGAGATGAAGAGAAAATTCCTTTTTCTTCCACCTCGTGTCGTTGCTGTCGAATTGGTCTCGTAATTCTATTAAAAGTTGTCGGTTTTATTCCGCGCGATGCTCCACATTAAAAATAAAAGTCACCCGCGGAATGGAAATTACCGCGAGGGGGGTAATCTTACTTATCCGATTGAATGACATTTGAACACACGTTTGGAGCCGGGGCATCTTCGCGATCGGGGAACAGGATCGTGCTGGATCACCGCACGGTAGGAATGGAAATGAGAAGGAATGGAAAAGAGGCGATCGCGGAAACTGCGAAAGTAGAGGCGAGAGAAAGTTCTCGTTTTGCGAGATGCGAGCGCAATTACACCGGGGCGATAAAAGTGTTACTTCGCGCTGTAATTTAGAAATATTTTTACGTCGTTTTGATTTGGCCGGGAAACGAGAGCCGTGAGTAGAATAAAACCGCCACTTCGCCGTGTAATTTTCGTCCGCGAGTTTCCACGCCGCCACTGTTTATATTCTACTTTCCACTCGGGCAGCGGTTGCCCGGTGTTTTCCATTCTCGATGCATGGAATCGCGAAATTGGTCCATAAAAAAAGGCTAGGTGTGTTAAGAAACCGTCGAAAGTAGCATCGTCTACCAGAGACCTCGGATTTTTTTCGCTTCATCCCTCGTTCGTCGCATTTAACCAGCCGAGAGTTTAGAAACGCGAGAAAATTCGTCGCTGCGTTGGAAACCTCGATTTTACCTCGGCTAGTATTCCTTCGAACTAGCGAATATTTTAAAAAAGAAAATTTCCTTAATAACGTTCAACGGAGGTCCATGAAATCCTTCGTATTCGACATTGTCCGAATACTTGGCCGCTGGACGGGGGGCTAGGAGGCTTGGAGTTCCATCGGGTATTTCAAAGACGAGCAACAAGGCGTGCTGATTAAGCCTGCTCAATTATCCGTCGATTCTTCCTGTCGCGGGATCTTTTTAAAGTAGAAAGTTTCGCGCGGACGGGAGAAGCTATCGGCTTTAGGAAAGTTCTGCGGTGGCTCGTCACAGGCAGCCAGGCAACGGTGTACAACGTCGACGCGGGTCCTCTCGTCGCCTAATTGAATGGCATTTTATTTAGCACAGTTCCCCGCACTCTGGATAGCCGCCATTTACCTCAATTACGTAATTCACCGTACACAACCGACCGCGCAGCTACCCACCATGGGCATTGCATGGTGACGGCCATACCGATGCTGATGGTGGTGGTGGTGGTGGTGGTGGTGGTGGTGGTGGTGGTGGTGGTGGTGGTGGTGG